TTTCCTATACTTCTACACAATGGCGGGGGGGGGGGGGTTGAGAACTGTTTTGTCTCGATGCAAAAAGGAATTGGCGCTTCTTGCGCGCGACTCCTCCGAGTCCTCGAGGGAGGCCAAGTCCGTCGACAATGCAAACAAATTTCCGCGCGAGGGCAGACACGAGCAACGTACCTTTTCGCGCCGACGACGTCAGATTCGCCGAGATCATTTCTTACTCGTTCGTCGAGTACTCGACTCGCGGAGAGAAGAGAGAGAGAGAGAGCGAGAGAGCGAGAGAGAGAGAGCGCCGCGTCGCCGCGCTCGCCTCGAACGCGCCCTTTCGCTCGTAGGTGGACGCGCAGGCGCACAGACGGCGCGTTCGCGGCGGCCAATCGCAGCCGCAGGTAGTAGAGGGTGCTCGGATCGATGCGGCCGACGGCGGCCGAGCCGTCGAGCCGTCGTGCCGAGCGTGGTTCGCGTCGCCGACGACGTCGGGTCTGCTTTACGCGCGCGGCTCTCGCTCGGCGTGTGGGACCCGCTGCTGGCCCGACAGGCAGGGTTGCGTGCGTGCGTATCCGCGTCTACCTGCCTACTCGCTCGCCCGCTCGTCCTCCCTCGGGATCGGGGGATCCTCGCGGGGCTTAGCCTCCCTTCGGAGGCGCCAACCCTCGCCGTCGCGCGCGCACACGCACGCACGCACGCTCGCGGCGCCCGCGGCCGTCGAATGCGTCGCGACAGCGTGCCCCTCGCTGCACCTTTCTGTTTACCCGCCCGATGGTTGGCGACGCTCGAGATCGTCGTCGCGATATGAGCGCGGGGCGCACGGCCGCGGCCGCCGGTGGCAGCTGTCACGGGGATGTCGGAGTCGGGACACCGCGGCCAGGCGACGGGACATCGCGCGGACGTCGAGCGCTAGTCGTGAGTACCCCAGCTTCTTGATTCCGCCGCCGCCGCTTACCTCGTTGACTCGCGCTGCACCGCGAGGTCGGTGCACCGCGGCCGCACGCTCGATACTTAATTTTCGCCTACCGCTTTTTTCTCGCCCCGCGGGACGGGATCAACCCCCGGGGGCCCTCGCGAAGATGGATCGACTCGATCCGTCCTGCGAGTCGTCGGATCGCCGAGGCTTCTTCTACACGGCGCTTCCCCAGCTGGGCACGAAGGGCCGCCGGGAATCGCGCAATTTTCGTCAGGGCGAGAGACAGCGGCTCGGGAGAAACGCTCGTACCCTTTCGCGGCCGCGTTTTATTGCCTCTTTATTTTACTTTTTTTTAAGTGGGCCAGTTGCACCCCCAAGAAATCGGAGGCGCGCAGGGTCGCGCGTTCGGAAATATCGTCCGAGTGCCCTAGCCTATCATTTTATCTTTCTTTTTTTGCTCACCGAGTGGTAAACAAGGATAAAATGATACACCGTAAACAAATTATAGTGGGTAACGTTGGGGCCGTCTATTTGGTGTGTATTTACATACGAGGGGGAAACCGCTGACCAAAATCTTGCACACCAATGCCCAGCGGGCATTACTTTATCTTATTATCTTATTTTATCTTTATAATGCCCAAAAATTGCCTAGTGATGCCCAGTAATGCCCTCGGCGGTTTCCCCCTTGTTTACATACGTCAGTAAATTTACCCCCTGTAAGTAAAATCATTACCTCATATAATAAGTAAACTGCTCGCTTTCGATTGCGTAGATTTTACAATTTTTTGTAATTTTTCGTCACGTATAAACAAGTATTTACATTACAAAGAGTAAAGAAAATTGTTTTTTTTTTTTTGGTAAAAGCGCATACATTTATATATTTCCGTTACTAATAGTGTAATCGCTACGCTTGTTACGTATGTAATTTTACATACTTGCTTTACAGCGTACACTGGGACACACTCGAGTGACGTTTCCGAACGCAGCTTAGGATTTTACGTTCCGGTGATCGTGAAAGGGTTAAGTTCCGTCGGCCGGTCGGCAGTCGTGTACTTGTGTCTCGAATTTTCTTTCCTATAAAAAAAAAACGTATACCCACGAGAATTCGAAACGTTATGCGTACCGAATATGCGGCTTTCCTTTTCTCCCGGGGGGGGAAAACCGCCGAGGGCATTGTGGTGTACAGATTTGCGGCATTACTGGTCATTACTAGGCATCTTTCGGGCATTAGGCCTTGCTGGGGCATTATAAAGATAAAATAAGATGAAATAAGATAATAAGATAAAGTAATGCCCGCTGGGCATTGGTGTACAAGAATTTGGTCAGCGGTTTCCCCCTCGTTTCCTTCATTTCGTTATTTCAGTTTATCTAACTATGCAAAGTCCGCAAAGAGGACCCTCATATGAATTTCTCATTAAGGAAACTATGGGAATGCGCGCTGAGCGCCATAACTATTCGCTTTCCATATCCAGCGTTTTTAAAAGCACGCGACGTATTTTTGGATATACGTCCCTTTTAAATTCATCCCGTCGTCGCTTTCTTATTTAATTTCAGCCCGTTTTCTTGCCTCTCCTTGCTCCGCTTTCAGTATGCAATTAGCTTTTCTGTTATCGATTGTGCCTCTTCCATAAATCTAGATCGCGGCCTGTATATTTACTTTGCACAGACCGAGTTTCTTCAAGTTTTCGATACGGTCAATTGTAACGCCGATTAAGCTTTCGTTAACGTAGTCGTCTCACATCAAGCAATATCGACGAGACATTGAGTAAACATTCATATCCTTTCCAGCTGAAACATTTGTGAAGAACCACAAATGGAACGGCTGGAAATTATTAATTAAAAAAAATATATATAGTGTCCCACTTTCCGCGCATTATTTCCTAACGACAAAATTTTCGATAAATCTGGAATTTTTCTTTCGTGAAAGTATCGAGAAGGACTGTCTTTGAAAATTTCAGCATTACATATTTTGATCCTAAGACAAATTATATTCAAGATTAACTTCAATTTACTCTCTTCCAGTTTTATTCGCTTTTAAACTTTTTGTCTATTCTGCTTATAATGCGGAAACTGTGCTCTAACATTTTCTGTAAAAAAAAATGCATCTCTCGATGGATTAAAGAATTCGCCGTTAAAATAATAATCTGCGGTGTGGAATCAATTTTTCTCTCGTGAAAGTATATCGAGAGGAACTATATTTAAAAAATTTAGCATCATATTTTGATCATAAAACAAACTATATTCACGATTAACTTCAATTTATTCGACTCTTCCAGTTTTATTCGCTTTTAAACTTTTTTTGTCTATTCTGCTTATAATGCGGGAACTGTGCTCTAACATTTTCTGGAAAAAAAATTCATCTCTCGATGGATTAAAGAATTCGCCGTTAAAAAAATAATCTGCGATGTGGAATCAATTTTTTCTCTCGTGAAAGTATCGAAAGGGGCCACCTTCGAAAATTTCAGCATCATATATTTTGATCATAAAACAAACTATATTCACGATTAACTTCAATTTATTCGACTCTTCCAGTTTTATTCGCTTTTAAACTTTTTTTGTCTATTCTGCTTATAATGCGGAAACTGTGCTCTAACATTTTCTGTAAAAAAAAAATGCATCTCTCGATGGATTAAAGAATTCGCCGTTAAAATAATAATCTGCGGTGTGGAATCAATTTTTCTCTCGTGAAAGTATCGAGAGGAACTATCTTTGAAAAATTTAGCATCATATTTTGATCATAAAACAAACTATATTCACGATTAACTTCAATTTATTCGACTCTTCCAGTTTTATTTGCTTTTAAACTTTTTTTTTCCTATTCTGCTTATAATGCGGAAACTGTGCTCCAACATTTCCTGTGAAAAAAAATTCATCTCTCGATGGATTAAAGAATTCGCCGTTAAAAAAATAATCTGTAGAAAGTGGGACGCTCAGTAATGTCCCTCTGTCCGTTTAATACCATTTTATGTGTTTGATATATAAATTATATAAATTCTCGCCCATCTCACGCTTTTAACGTCAACAGAAAATATTGACTCGCAATCTTTACTAATGCAAGTTTATCTCGATCTTCATTACATGTAACAGGATATACGATACAAGTTTAAACCACGTGATACGAGCTTCATGGCGAGTTTCATAACGAGCGAAATAGCTTATGCGACAGGCGACGTTCGTGTATTTAATACGAAAAATTGCTGTCGAGTCCAGCGTTGCTTATCGCGTCACTCTTTACTTTGTTTATCATATTATTTATCGTAACACTTGGAACACTAGATTCCCATTTCCATACAATTATCTTTAACTGCGCCACTGCTTTAGTCTGATTTTCATTGCGTGTATCGCCGATTAAACGATTCGCCGATAAACGCGAATAAATACCACTGTAGCAATTATCGACAATGTACCCGGCAACATTCCGACCAACGTCAATTTGGCCGCTTTATTGTTCATTGATGTTACAAACTGTTTTCTTGCGCCTATTTGTACTACAAAGTGGAAATACAAATTCAATCGATACGTGTATATGGAACAGAAAGTCGTGCATTAAACGCGTATGTAATTACACATGGTTATACGCGGACGCGGTTAGGCAAATGATTTCGAGAAATTGTTCTCTTTCCGCGAATACAAAGTTTCTCCCACAACCAGTCGTCTTCCGATGTTTATCAGTTGCGGAGTCCAAGACCGATTGTGAAGTTAATCTGACTTACTTATTGTTCAACCCGAGCGAAGTTACGATATTCTACGAAAACCTTTTATTTTTCAACTAACAAGAAAAAAGATTCGCCCTGTCGCCAGCAGTAATTAACAACTTCAGTGTTTTTATTGGCCATATCTGGCATTTTTAATAGTAGAGAAAATTTATTGCGAAAATTATTACCGCAGCCAGGGTTTGAACCCGGACTTTCCTACTCTCTAGGCGGGCGTCTCGCCAATTCGACCACTGAGGCACTTTTATTTTTCATTTTATTATTATTTACAGTTGTTACCGTCGTCTTCGAAAATAGGCTAATTGGTGTAACGATCGGCCGGACGACAGTGCGTAACTTTTCATCGCACAGTAATCAACACTCGCGATGTTCTTCGCGATCGAGAGTAAACGATACTATTTTTCCCGATTGCTTACGAGAACCCATCAGGATTTAGCTTTAAGTCACCTGATCTAAAACTCTGCATCCTGATTGGCTCTCGTAAGGAATCCAGTAAGAAAACTTGTATTGTGTGCCGTTGTCTTAGGAGTCGTTAAAGTCTGGCCTTCTCCTATCTAACGATACGTGCAGCTGATAACTCGGGAACGAGGGACGGCGGAGGATAAATCATTTTCACCGCCATCGATACCCACCGGGACGTTTTAGTGACCGATTTTTCCCCGCTTTGTGTAATCCCGACGGGCGAGCACACGCTCGCCAGATAAAACGACCTCGAGATAAGAGGATTAAGTGTCGCCTACTCGCGCGCGACACATCCGCGAGCTGGAAACGCGCTTTCTTCTCACCCGTGCGCGCGTGTCACTTATGAAAAATCCCGTCTTTCTGTCCTTTTCAACGCGGATAACATCTACGTTGTCTCACGTAGGTGGAGATACGGGAATATCGCAGAGACGCATTGAAACGTCCTCGTCCGCAGTTGGTTTCGCGACTCGCGTGGCTGATAACGGATCGCTTATCTTTATATTTCCGCGTGATGCTATTACTGGCTGAGATTATAGGCTCGGCTCTCGTCGATCGATATCACGGCGGATTTCACGGCGATCGTTGCATGCAGAAACGAGATTGAGTGTGTAAAGTTCGCTAGGACCTCCTTCGGTGAATCTCGCGCGAGGGAAGACCTTGTTCTACTGTTTTCCGAGTGGAAAATTCTACTATCGTTATATCTCTTTTCGTTTATGTAATCAATAACGGGCTCTCTTGTGTACGGACGAAGCGCTGAGGAATCACCTGCAATTTTAAGGGACGCGGGCGTTATTGAAGGTTATTGATTCTTTTAATAATACGAA